TTTTTTTTATTCTCAGTAAACTGACTGTCGTTTGCGTCGTTAATCTTCGTTACCCGATCAACATACTCCGTGCTTATTTAGTAAAAGTAAAAATTGATATATTAAAATTAAAATGTGACAAAAACTACCGTTTTTAAATATACCTTCTGAACTGTGAGCAAACTGAAGTTTGCCGGTTGTAGCCCATAAAAAATAGCCTTATTGCAGACTGTAATTGGAGCTGTTCTCGTCCAACAAATTTCATAGTCAAATTTGCAAGAATCAAAGTTATGGCGCCATCTGTAGTCGTATTGCTCACGGTTCTGTTTGTGGTTGGAATAGATTGTTGTACACAGAGCTACAAAGAAAGATTCTGCAGCCTTGTTCGTTTTTTTTTTGTTTTCCAGATTTTTTAGCTACAAAACAAGTTATTGGACTTTTAGCGGAGCAACGAAACGAAAGGTCGAGGTCGATATCTGAGAATTGAAATTTTTCAAATCAATATTGTTCTTCATCTTCTAAGCTTTTGAATTCTTTTTTAGTTCTTATACATCATCCTTATCTGAATTTATCTTTAAACTAGAAATTAAAGAGTTGGCTAGTTAAAAGTTCACTTGTTAGAGTGCTCGAAATCGAAAATTAGAAGGAATACGATTGGAAGTAATTCGTGAAGCCATTAATCGATGTTCTGGTCTTGAAAATCAGCTGAAGAAAGCTTACAAGTCTCTGACGGTGACACCAATTTTCGCATCTGATATCAAACTTATGGCACTATTAACAACATACCGAAATTTCAAGATTCGTTCATTTTACGAGTTAGAGTATTTGGTGCATCCCTTAACTTTTCATAATGCTATTGACCAGGTAACAATCCAAACTAATTGCTGATAAAAACTGCTCTCGTTTTCAGTTTTCTAAATTTCAGAACGGTTATTGATTTCAATACTCAGGTAGTTTACTGTCATTGTTTGGTAGGTTTTTGAGAGGGAACGATCGGCGATAGTAGCTTTAGAGTTTGCTATGGAAATCCTTATTGAAGCAATCAAAATAGTACGCAACGACTACGGGAACTCGTTGAAACTCGACGTTGCAGAAGTACGCAGAAATTCATCTGTCACTTTTTTTTCACATTTTAGTTAAAATATTACTTTCAATAAGCAAAGTGCTTTTACTTAAATGTTACTTTCTTTCAAATCTTTCCCATTATTCCTTAACTTATTCGAGCTTCCTGATAAATATAAGTTTTTGCTAACACTAGTGTATTCTTTAAGTACTAAAAGAAAAATTGGTTGTTCATCATGACCTTCCAACTATAAAGACGAGTTTACCTAAATGTATTTTTAAAAGATTGTAACTCCGTGGAAGAAGAAAGTTGATGACGACACAAATGTCTTTAAAACACAACTGTCCACCACGTCGACAGCGGAAATGCAGTTGAACGAAGCCTACATGACGTTCACAGAACTCTATGTAACTACGTTGCAATTATTAACTTTCTATATCTGAACTTTACCTTTAAAATAAAAATTTGGGCTGAAAGAGAAGATTTGCGGTTAAAATTACAACTATCTTAGACCAACTTTTATGTCTTCAGCGTTGCTGTATCATTGATAATTTAAGGCAAAAAACACGCAGTATCTCAAAATTTTCCGAAATCAACTGCTCGCTGATAAGAGAACTTTATACCTGAAAAGCGTTGGTAGAGTAATGAGCAAAAATGTTTCAGAACGTAGTGGACGAGACAGACTTTACCAGCATCCCAGTTGGAATCCGGTCTGAAGTGCAAAGATTAATGAATTTTCATAAAAAAGGATACAAGGATCTTTTTAATATTGTGCAGTTCGCACAGCACTGGGTTGCTAATGTTTCGAGGACGTTAAATAGCCTTACAAGAGACTGTGAGCTAATTGATATTCGAAGTTATCGGGAAAAGGAATGTACTGTTCGGCACACTGTAGCTGTCAAAATTCTATCGGTATGTATTCCGATGACTTACTGCTTTTTTTTGAATTTGTTTTTAATTTTTCTTGCATGCATAAGCAGTTTATATAAATTTATAAAGCTATTATTTACTGGATTAGCTAACAAAAATTTTTTGCTCTGTTACTAAGCAGAATAAAAAGAGAGGAAACAAAGTTCGGAACGAAAAAATAACTGCGCAAAATCATATTGTCACTTCAAGCATTTTTTGCTCTCTTTCAGGTGCTTGAAGAATTTGCTCAAGACTTTGATGTATTATGCGATGTTCATCTTAAAAAATACTACTCAACAAGTCCACTTTCTCTGATTCGTCTGGCCAAGAAAGATCCACTGGATGAGCTGCAAGTAGAAATCAGAGGGAATTATACGGAAGTGACAAAAAAACTGAAATATCAATATGATAAAACCATGAAAGAGCACGAAGATCAAAAGGCTAAAAAGCTTAACGATGCATCGTGCTACAGTCAGTTAATCCACGAAAAGAATATTGAGAAAATTTGTAAGCCACAACTATTTCAGCAAATGCGTAGACCTCACTGACAATTATTCATAATAGTGTACTTGTCTGTGGGATAAACAGCTAATTCTTGACGCAACTGGCGGTGACGTTTACAATAATATCAAACGTCAGCACGTTACTAAAATAAAAATATTGTAACAGACTTTATCACAAGAACAATTCAAAAAAAACAGGGTGCTCCTTCGTCTTTATAAGTCCTATTTATTCGTAAGTATTAATGCAATACTTAATTGACGAAAGAGAGCCTTTACAGACTACACTAACGATACATTAGTAATGCTTTACTCAGCAGAAAGGGTTTATAAGAGCCCTTTTAGAGCAGGTTAAGTACAGCAGCGTGGCGCAGCGGAAGCGTGCTGGGCCCATAACCCAGAGGTCGGTGGATCGAAACCACTCGCTGCTAGTCGCTGTCATCCGTTCATGGGGGGCGGCACATTTTGCGAGCCAAAATATCGATGTTTTCATACTTCAGTAAATCAGTTGGTATTTGTTGAACAGAAAGCTTAGCTTTCGTTACACTTTCAAGTTTAGCAAAGTTCATAAGTAAGTTTTAAAAACTCAACAGTAGCTTAGAAATTCTTTCTCAACGTTACTGTTGGATGACAATGAAGTTCCTTACCCTAAAAACGAAGTGTTTTTACAGACCACATTTTTATGTTCATATGTGGTATAATATGACATTAAAAAACTTAGGCCATAAACAGAAACAACCTTTACGCTTTCCTTCAAAATGAATTTATCCCCTGCTTATAACTGTTAATTCAGCAAATCCCTGAATCGGCCGGATTCAGCTCTATAAAGTCAAATGTAGAAAATAAGTGAAAAGAAAAGTGCATTTCACCCCTGTTCTAAGTTTAATTAATCATCCTTCTCCTTTAAATAAAAGAAAATTTAGAAAACTAGCTGCTGGTCAGCTGGTGAAACTAAGTTGAAAACGTTACAATATTTTTTGTTGCATAAGACAGTTGCGAATTTTTTTCTGTTACGAACATCAGACGTAAAGATCGCTAAGAAGGTTAGCAATTTAGTCTGATTATTTCCGCCGGTAAGGGGAAGAGATGAGAATCGTTTGCCACCTTTCTACAAAAGTTGCTTTCTAGGGAGAGCAGAGAAACAAAGAAAGGGCGAAGGGCGCGAAATTGGAGAGACGGTAGAAAAATATCTGTTCTCCCAGCAGGAGGAATGGACGTTGGATTTCCTTACACCCGCTTTCGCCTCCCCGCTCCCCTGCTGAGACTAACCCTACGTTATGCTAAGTCATGTGGTAAACATTTTTATAGACCTTTGGTAATTAGAAATGACAGCAGGCATTATT